GTTGACCCACTGATCCTGCTGAATGATAAGCCTGCATCATCTGATTTACATTTGTACACATCAGCTAAATCTGTAATTTAGACAGAATGATACCGTTTATTTTAAGGTTATTAATTACTTATGGCATTACGGTATTTTCTCATTCATTTTACCAAAATGTTATATTTTAACAATAAAAACGTGTGTTTTTTCAACATATTATGACAGTGACAATTACAGTAATGTACTGTTTCTTGATTTAGGGTAATTCTGCTACGGTGAAATCCTATTTTGAATTTTATGGTCTTTTACTGTTGCTATTTGACAGTTTTTTACTGTAAATTCTACAAACTTTTTTTTACAGTGTACTAATACTTAACAACTGCTTCATAGTGTGTTGATAACAAAGAATAAAACATTTATAACTGTGTTTATGAATGACTTACTAATGTGTATTAATGTATGAACAATGCTTTATAAATGATGAATTCCGTATTTACTAATACTTAACTAATGCTTTATAGTGTGTAGTTATTATAAAGTGCTACCGAAATTATTACTCTGTTAATTGATCAGTTGATTGCTAGAACATTTATCTGCAGAACATTTATCTGCAACTATTTTGACGGTAAAATAACTGTTAATGTCATTTTCCAAGCAAAAATACTAAACATGACCTTGATTCAGCTTCTCCATTGTGAGGCTTTGCGGATTTTGTCTTACATTATAGTTAATTGAATCTCTTTGGGTTTTAGACACTTTGTCTGAAGAAACAGGCTTTTTGAAGGTGTCACCTTTTGGTATTAGGAAACTGTAATGGCCATTTTTCATTATTTTCTGATATTTTTGTATTTCTTCTATAGAACAAAACGATGAATTGAGAAAATATTTGATAAATGAATCGATACTGAAAATGATTGCTAGTTGCAACTCTTGTTACATTCATTAAGCTATAGTTCTTCAAGAATCTAATGTGGATTTGTTCCCTCTTAGAGTCCGTAAGAGACAGAGTCTACAGCTTGTAGTTCAAATTTGAAATAGTTAAATGTAAGGTAGACAAGTATACTACAGTAACTGGCAAAAAAAGGACCGGCCCTCTAGAATGACGGGTGTGCAGTGTAGACTTTATTCCATTAGCTGACGTTTCGCCAACAATGTCCTTCCTTTGGCTTTGTCTGTACCATTTGTTTTGGGGGGTGATGATGGGGCAGTGGAAAAGACACGTGCCTTTGGTGTGGGAGACCAGTGTTCAATTCCCACTGTGACACATCCATCAATGTGTCCCTGAGCAAGACAGTTGACCACATCCAGAGGCACGCAGCCTCTGACATATACAGCAATTAAAAGTTGCTTTGAATAAAAGCGTCAGCGTAAATGAATTTATTGTAAGCCCATGTGTTTACTTGACAGCCAGACTGATTGAAAACTTGTGATAATCTGTGATGTAAAATTACAATTGGGGGAAAAAAGGCGCTTCAAAACAGGTGATATGGGGAGATGATTTGTGACAACAGCTTCAGCTTAGCTATAGAAGAGAGACATGTTTGTTTAGTAGAAACGATGAGTTAAAGTGTAATTTTGAATCTCGGTCTGGTCTGTGCCTTCTCAGTAATCACCTGTCAATCAAGCAGTAGGGGAGGGAAGTCCTCTTTCACTGATTTTCTGATGAAGTTTCTATAGCTCGTGCTATTTTGACTCTCTGTAGCTCTATCATCTGTTGTCATTCATTGTAACTACTTTGCTCTTGTTCTTTTTAGCTCAGAACTAAATGAATTGTTGCGGCTTCTACCAGAAATGTATATCACATCACTTCCTGCGTGACAGGGGACTATCCTGGCTGACCCTGCACATTTACAACATTGAGTGGAAGCTCTTTCATGAACTCGATATGTCAGTCAACGATAAACGTTAGCAAAACTGACATCAATGTTATCACTGTCAGGAAGAGGCCAGGGGGCACAGCTGCTTTTCTGGCCTACGGGAGTTTATCAGCATCCACATACCCTCAACAAACACACACTTAGAGCAGGTAGGGTATACAAACACATGTAACTCACACAGAATACAAAGGCATAAACTCATAGGTGAAGCATGTACGCGCACATATGGTTGTCTTTTGAACACCAACATGTGTTACTCCTGGGATTAGCTAGATGTTTGTGAGATCAAATGTTGTTCACCATTCTCCATTCTACTTGCTATTATTGCTAATGTGGAGAATAATCCTCCTGTGGAATTAATCTCTTCTGAATAGCGTTTGTTTCCATGCTGAGATAGAATTAAAGCTCTTGTTCCACTTCTGGGTGTGATGTGCTCTGTTGGTGTGTGCGTATCTATGTGTGTGTGTGAGAGAGAGAGAGAGAGGGAATCAAATAAATATATGTGCAGTTGAAGTATTTCCACCCTTTTAAAATTCAGTACATTTTTTTGGGGGTTTGCCCATTAAGTGATTAAAACCGATCACACCATTGGTCTGTATTCTTTAGGAATGAATGTCCTGTTAAACTGTGGATATCTTTTTATGTTTGAATAAATTTGATGTATTTAATTTTATCTTGTTTGATCTGTCAGTTTATCTGAATTTGTCCCAGAGCTTTGATTCTCAGCCTGAGCCTGATTGGGCACAACAGGTCCAGTTAGCTCCGGCTTTTGTTTCTCTTAATTACCTTTTGGCTTTAATCAGATCTGATTTGACTTTATTCACTTCTCTTGTTTTTTCTACATCAGTGTAAATTAAACATCAGTGGCCTAATTATTTATTCTATTATAAACTATAGCTTCAGTGAATTATTATAAATTGTATCTTAAAGAAGCATCATGTGAATAACATTGTCTGTTTTGGCTGTGTAGTGAAAGCAGCACAGCAGCCACTGGATCTGGCCAGCCACTGTGCTGGCAGAATCATTCTGGATGGACGTGATATGTACTTATGAACAGCAGTACCCTATTGATTGAAATTAAAGCATATCTGTAAAGTCAGACAAATGGAAAAGCATAACTGAAAAGCATCACCAAAGTTGGTACAGACATTTATGGTTCCCAGTTGATGCATCCTTATAACTTTGGTTATCCCTTGGGTTTTACCCTGGCTCCACCATGAGGTTGACATTTGGTTCATAACCAGATACCTTCAAAACTAATGACATTGCCATCAGCCCCTGCTGTACTTTGTGTCTAGCGCTAATTAGCAAATTAATGTTAATGACAGTACTGTTGATGTTACCATGCAGCTCAATGCACTGCTGTGCCTAAATACAGTCTCACAGAGCTGCTATCACGGCTGTAGACTAAATAGCTACTCACTGTTGACATGATGGCATGTTGACGGAGATTTTGCATGCAAATTCCACGACACTTATGTAGAAACACGGGCATGCACTAATAATTTCACTTTTAGTTTCCAATATAGGTTCCCTCCCTAATGACACAATTAAATGCCTTCATTATATTTAGCATAGACTGCTAGGCAAGTCATTGTTGCCATTTTGGCTAAATTGTGACAGTCAGGTGTAGGGCTGAACGATTAATCGTTTTCAAATAGAAATTTGAAAGAACACGATTAGCTAATCGTGAAGACGGCGATCTGAGCAGGTTTAAACAGTCATGAAAAATTACAAGTTCATTTTGTTGTCATCCTTGTGTGACAGATCTACTAACCATTCACAAGTGCCATGCGCCTCCTGTTACAGTCCTACTCACCAATCAGAGTGGGCACAGGGCGTGTATATTTACAACAACAAACAAAACTAGAAGAAAATGTGGGGTCAAGGCGCCACCCGAACAGACACTGAGCCGCAATTTTGTCCAGCGTCAACTCACACTGAAGTGTTTCAGCAGGGGAGCGTTTTGTTTTTTTATTTTGAAAATCGACTGGATTCTCTCTGCTGTTCTGTGTCTGACTTCCTGCCCGGTTCATCTGCTCTGTGCTGCTTGATGCGGCTTCTGTCAAAACTAGACTGGCAGTGAATATCGAACTTTAGCTAAACTTTTTTTTATTAATAATTGAATCAAATTGAATCATAATCGCAATATCTGGCAGAAAAATCGCAATTAGATTTTTTCCCCCAAATTGTTCAGCCCTAGTCAGGTGGGTTCTGGGCTCATTGTCCACAATGATACGTTCAAGCAGTTGAACCAGCTGAGCTGTCTTAGAGAGGGTAGGGATGAAACGGTATGAAAATTTCATATAATGATTATAGTGACCAAAATTATCATGGTTAGCAGTATTATCACGTTTTTGTAAAAATGTTCAGAAACAGATTAAAATGTACTGCAGCGCTGTCTTCTGCCGTGGTGTCATTGACCCAAACAAACTCATGTTGCATACTGCGCATGCGCTTGTTTCTAGGAGACTGTCCCAGAAGCAAGTGCGCATGCATGAGTTTATAATAGCGCAGTAACCCAACCCGGTTATCATGGTAATTAAAATGTGTATGGTAATAATAACCGTCGAGAATTTTACCATGGTTTATTGTTAAACCGGTAATCCTTGTATCCATAAGTGGGAGCCAGCAGAACCATAAGACAGTCCTTTGTTCTCAGAGGGCAGACCAGGACACTGGCCCACAAAACCCCACACAAATGATATTTCTCTCCCTAATGTAATGCGTTTTACTTGGAACATTTAATCACATTAAGCAGCACATCTGGGACATCCTCTAAGACGTCTTCAGACACTGGTTTTGTGTTGAAGCCATAGGGTTAGTGAGAGAGTGACAACACGCCAAACGTGTCTTTGTTGCTGTCTGTCTCTCAGGCAGAGGTGAGAGAGACAGAAAGAAAGGAAAAGAGAGATGGATAAGAAGAAGGAGAGCTGTAATTTAGCTGGCTGACAGAGGAAGTGAGATCTCTTGGGGGTGTGTGAGTGTGACAGTCTAAATGAATAGAGACATCAGTGAGTGTACGTGTTTGTGTGGACACAAGGAGGAGGATCTGTGCTTGGTGTGTTTTACTCACCCTGTCAAATCCAAGACAGCCCTAAGTCTTTTTTTTTTATCAACCTTCCTTCTCCTTTCTCCTCCCTGTCACAGCTCTGTGGGGTGAAGTGAGTGTGTCCATGTGTGTCTTATGACTGCCAGAAGGGAAATGTGCAACAGGTAGGTGGTAGGAGCAGAGGATGCACAACACAAGACGTCCTTTCCTTCTTTTTGCACTGTTGATGTTTCCTCACAAATCTTGCTTCTGTTCTTCAGGGTTGCCAGATCCCAGAAGAGAAAACAAGCAACCCAGACTGTCCAGAGCTCCTGAAGTGACAGCCACTATTCTAGAAAGAGACCATTTGATGCTGGGATCAAGCCACACCTGGTTTGTTTCAAGCTTAATGCTGCACATCATTACTGTAAAAGATGAGAACCTAGCAACTAGGTACTTTCCACTACTATTTGCAACAGAATGCTCACTTCATGGCTGTTTCTGTGGGTCTTGTGGTCCTTCAATAAGCTTTTAATGAGGAAGTAACATGCTGTGGATCACAGTTAGTGGAGCGCCACTGCTAAAAGCTACTGATTGTGTCTGTGGCCATGGTGATCAGTATAGATAGTTCACTTTGAATGTTTGGTGATTGCATTTGTAGTGAACACCTCTAGCAGTGACAGTTGCCTGGTGGTACTAGATGCGAAGTCAGGGGGGTCATCAAAATCTTCAGGGTTTGTCTTCTGGTGACCTCGAATATCTACGGGAAACTATCAATTCTAAGTACTTCGTGAACCAAAAATGAAAGGGTTCCCCCTTTGCAGAGCATGAATGTCATGGCAACATGCTTGTTAGAACCTGATGTTTCTGGGATATTAGTCAGATTTTTTAGGCTGGTGGTAGTGCTACAGGGGAAGGTCAGGAAGTCTGCAGAAACATTAAGATTCATCTTTTGGGGACGATATTTATCTGCTTCACATTTTATGGAAATCTTTTTTATGGAAGTCCTGACTCAAAGTGTTGGATAATGGGAAATTTTGACTGTGTAGAAGGTGGGGCTCTGGCAACTCTTTGCTGCTCTATTCCCCCATATTTTCTCCCCTCCTGTTTTCTTCCTTTTTGCCTAAAGCAGAAGATGTAGACGTTATACAAAAAAATATATAACTCTCAGTGATTGGGTCAAAAGGGCAAATCCGCAGTGCGTCCTGGGCTCCACAAATCCATAGTTTGTGCTCCGAGTGCTCTCACTGAACCCTGCAGTAAATGCGTGTGTCAGCCCACAGCTGTCAAAAGCAAACTCAAATACAAACAGTACAGTCTAGCGAGTACAAACAAGTGCTTCCCACAATTGACCTCCTCCACGGTGATTGTCTGTCTGGTTTATATCAAAGATGGTGTACACTTACAGACCAAAATGCGTAGAAATATCAGAATCCAATGCTGAAACTTAAAGGTGTTTCCTTTTCTCAAACTCCTGGTTTACAGTGTCAAAAGAAGCAGTTGTGTCATGCTGTGGGGCCTGTGTGTGTTTATAGAGAGCACCACAAAACCCACTGGTGTGAATGTCTTTTTGTGTGGGACATTTGGTGTCATTTCTCAGAAACACAACTTTAGCAAAATCACATTTTCATGTCTTGTCATCAATTCCTTCCTCTTCTTTTGAGGGCTTTTCTTTGTGACATGTCCCTCTCTGCTTCCCCTTTCTAATGAAAGAGTATCTCATTCTTAACATCTTTTTTATTTTAGGACAGGAGCGTGGTAATAAGGGGTGGGTAGTGTGATTTTTATGGTGTTTTTAACTACAGCCTTTACATTGTTCTCATAAACGACCACTTTTTACCAATAGGTCAAACCATTGAATCCACTTAGTAACATAGATTTTCATACAGCATACAGGGCTTTAAGTACTTTTTGAACTCTTGCTGAACATTAAGCAGACAAAAAAGTAATGATTAAATATGGGCATAGTGTACCGATCATCTTTAGGTGAAATTATTCCCACACTTGTGTCATATGACTCTTGAGTTTCCCTTAATTAACCCCCCTTAATTTATCTCACTCTTAATTTAACAGTTATGGTAAATATATTACATTTATACAGGAGCTATTTTTTGTACAATAGCTTTTTTTGTACATGCATTTCTGACTAAAGGTACATTGTGTAATCTGAAGATTCCTGCTCTTCATATCTTAAATAAAAGGGCCTGTGGCATCTAACCGGTAACTGTCTTAACTATGTGATCTGTTTTTTGTTTTTTTTTCCTCTCCTGGGGCCGAGGCCTCAGTTAGATGAATAAGCTGTCCAGTGGGCAGTTGTATTGAAGTGGTTGCAAGCTTCTGTCTGTACAAAGGCTTTTGTTTGGTCTGGAAATCAAGAGGTTTACAGGAGAGTTCCATCAGAGAGACCGATTGTTAAAACAATACACCATGTATGTGGTGTTACTGTTGTATAGAAAGATAGTGCTAGTGCACAGGTCTGAAATGTTATATTTTTATATATCTTTCCATTTATTTATTGTTAATTTTACAATAAAGCACTTACTGCATCACAATAACAAATATTCTCATGCGTTTAATGGCTTTTTAAGATTAATAATGATACATATTAGTCTCAACGCAGCTACTTCTGTCACTTTGAGTGGAAACTGTCCAAAGGTTTGTGCTGTTATTCCCAGACGATTAGCTTGTCATCTTGCATTTGAGTGTGGCCGTTCGGAACAACTATAAGCAACTATTGCCTTCTGGTTGGACGACGCTTCGCACAAACCAGTTATTTTCTAGAATAGCCGGCCCAGCCTTTCCTCTTCACTACATAAAGAGCGTACTGCTTATTGTGTTGGGATGGAACTTTGGCACTGGATTCAAGTCACGAGGAACTGAATCGTCCAAGTGCGCGTAATTCATAGCGGCACTGGGCTGGAATTGTCTGACTGCAGATTACATTTGTCAGGTGGAAATCCGCATGATATTTCAACTGTTACTTGGATTCATCTCCTCTGTAGACTTTGTGAAAAGTGTTAGTATATAATATAAGTAATAGGATGTATAATCATTAACTACTGTCAGACTGCTGTTGTAATAGTGAATGACTATTCAGTAAAAGCAACATACTGTAGCCATTTCCTACAAACTTCAGTTTGAGTTGACCATACAATAGAATATCTCAGAATGCCTCTGAATATGTGAATATCTTATTTCTTTCCCTAAATGCCCTCACACAACAACTGATTTAATGCACTAAAAGCAAAATGACCTTGCACTAAAAATGCTCATATTGCAAATAAAGTCCTGATGTATCAGGGTATTCTCATGTTCCCTTTTATGCCCAGTAGCTTCTAACACATTCACACCATATACACATGCAAACTATGAAACATTTTTTGGGTGTGTACACTTTCTGTAAGAGGTTGTTCACGCTGTCTTTTGTGTTTAGCTATGTTTAGGGTCCATTTGATAGTTCTGGTGATGCTCGAAAAATCAGCAAGGCTGGATTTGATTCTGGGCAAGAATCACACGAGTATGCACTCTGAAAAAAATAAAATTACCATCTGTACGTGACAGAAAAAAATACAGTGCTCACAGTGATGCAACAGTTTGCTACAGGACAGCAGTTCATTCATCACAGTGTGTCCATTAGCCAAATGACTGTTGGGATGAATCAGGCCCTAGGCCAACAGATCTGATCTCAGACTAGTCACCAGCCCTCCTACATGTGGTACACACGAATCTCTCTGAAGATGAAGGCTGATCCCAGATCTGAGCCAGGAGGGGTCGGAGTGCTCCTAAACAGGAAGTGGATGAGATCAAATGCACCACTCAGATTGCGGTGTGGAGAGACTAAACATCATCACCCCACAGGAAGGAAGTAGCTATGTCTGAATTACACAGACTATCGTGTGTGTGTGTGTGTGTGTGTGTGTGTCTGATTTACACAGACCAGCGTTTACATCCCACACCCAAATATTTAGCTCTGTGCAACTGCCACCCTCTAACACAAAGCTATGATTAGGGAGAGGTGAGTGTGTATTCTGTGTGTTTGTCTGGCTCCTACAAAAAACTATATTGTATGTGCATGTATATTTCGGTTTGTGTGTGTAGGATCGGAGGTCCTACAGGGACCACCTTGGTGAACAATGGGTCTTTTATTCCACTGGAGTGTTTGACTGGACTCTGTGTCTCAGAGCAGACACACAGCCAGACAGGAAACACACATATGTCACACACACACACACACACACACACACACACACACACACACACACACACACACACACACACACACACACAAAAATTCGGTAACTATTTGTGGGGGTCAGTTTTCGCTTAGACTAGACGCATGTGTCTTTTTCTGTGTGTATTTAGTCAGGTAATTTGGCCCACTCTGCTGCAGCTTCAGACACTGTGGAATGTGGTAACAGTGATTGGTTACACTTTTGGTTTGAGGGGGCAGGGCAAAGGAAACATAACCAGGGAAACCCTATATAGTTGCTGAGTCCCTTTTTTTTTTTTAAAACTCCAGATAAGTTAGGTCTTTTTTACATTATGTTATCACATCTTTAAAATATTGGATCAATGTTTCATAGCAGGAAAAAGGTGACAACAATGACAATCACTATTTTCCATTCAAAACTAACATATAATGGGTAATTATAGCACAGCTAATCACTCCATGTGTGAAATGACCCAATAACTGAAATTGAAGATTGTTTTTAAACAAACAAGAAGTTAAGAGCAAAAGACAACCAAGGTCTCAAAACTCAAATTGTCTGCACTCTCTGCTGCCATGAAATGTTCTCAGGATAACGCCAGTGTTGGCAGCAGCACCCCCCCCCCCCACCCTCCCCCCCAGCAGATGGGAAATTGGGAAAGTATTTCAGTGTATAACACAGTGAGCTCTGAGGAACAGAATTATCTATCAAACACTGCTTGCTGTAATTTCTGCCTGAGATCCACCTGTAAAGATAATGATGTTGGCGTTTGTTCTCCACAGTGTGCGCATGAACAATAATCTCCCCCAGGGAGAAAACAAGGAGAGCCAGGAGTCTCATGTGATTTTGACAAATTAAATAATATCCGCTGCTCCATGGGTAAAGACAGTGAGTTGTGTGAAGCTCTGCCACAGTCTCAAGGACTAGGAGATCACTTTCTTGAAACAAAATGACTGAAAATTGATGGTCATTTTGGCGTTAGAGCTTGGGAAACATTCAGTGAGTCCTCATGAAGATAGAAATCTGTCCATCTGTACTCAGGTTGGTTGATGGTTTGCTTAATTCTGAAAGAATAAAAGACAATGAGATTCTCTAATTGGCCTTTAAAAAGCTACAGTGTTTCAAATGAGCAAATCATATATTGTTTGTTGTTTCTTCGCATTGGCTTTAAAAGCACTATTGGTAATTTTGGATGCAGTCTGTTATTACACAATTGTATACCAACTGTATTCCAGCTCCACTGAGGTGTTTCACTGTGAGCTCATTGTTATCCCTCTGTCTTCATTTCTGGTGCCTAAAACAGATTACTATAGGTTTGCCATCTGCAACTGTCCCAATCCGTCATCTTGATTGCATTGAGCCCCAAATGACCAGATGTTTCATCACTATTATGGCATTAGAACTGAGCTCAATAGGCAGATGTGTGTCTCTCTCGGCTGATTGTTGTCATGATAGAGAATAGTCTGATTACCTCTTCTGATTAGGCCAATGGGCTGTTAATCCTTCAACAACCGCTACAGATCCAGTGTGTCAGCCCTGCCCTGCATCTCTGAGAATGGGAGCAGGTTATACAACTGAGGGCACACACAACGAAAGTGCACACGCTGACAGGACAAACACTCAGACAGATGATTGAAATAGTGGTCACAGTAAAAAGGACATACACAAGGTACATACAGGGTAAATGTCCACTGTTTTTTCATGTTGGTAGTGAAAGGAGGACACGAATGCATGCGCCTAAGCACACACAGGGTAGTAGACGGGTCTGATGTCAGGGTTTATAACATGAGCTTGGCCACTCATCCCAAATGTCATGTTTATCTGATCCGTATTAAAGACCCTGTGACAATGGAACAGATGGGACTGCCTTTTGTCCTGCAAGTGCACACAGGACACACACACAGGCACACACACGCACATATATATATCCATGTAGGCTCCCCGCTCTCTCTCACTGTCCCTCTCTCTTTCCGTCTCTCAGTGGGCCGTTTGAGTTGGGTTGAGGTTGTGTGATTGTGTTTAGCCAAGCAGAGTGATGGAGCTCTACGGGGGAGCCAGCCTGCTCTCACCATGCCAGACGGACAACATAACACACACATATACACATATGTACACACACACATGGCCTCTGCAACTCCTGCACAATATCTTTTAAATATCCCTTGCTGGCTTTGCTCTCCTAAAAGCAACTGAGGTCAAATGTATTTATCAGGTTTCCACTTGTCAGTATTTAATAATTTGCTGCTTCTCCATTCCTTCACAGCACCACCAGAGGTTTACAAATCCACAGGGAACCTTTAAAAAGTCACACAGCCAGAAGGTTACCGTGCTATGATGTGCCAAAGAAACTGACACCCTACTCTGTAAATTGAGTAAAAAGCATCAGCTAAATCAGTAAATATGTAAAACATTGCCGCATACTAATTAATACTGTCCTATTTCCCAGCATTAGCACACATCAACAGTCCAGGCTATTTCACAACATTTGGCATACTGGCTTATTTATATTGATTTACTTCTGAAGTGTCTAGTGCACACTTTGGGCATCAAATGACACCTGTGTGTTGCCCTTCAACCTTTTAGCAGTCATGTCACACGAATGCAAAACCTGGACCTCGTGAAACATTTTTCACTGCACTGGAATGTTCTCATTTTGGCATCTGCTTAATTCTTTCCTTTGAATCCAATCTTGAAGTTTTATGGTATATGAACTAATCAACATTCAAATTTCTCCCATTACATCTCGGTTTTATCACTTTCATCATTTTAACAGTCTGGCATTGTTTTGACATTATTTACCAAAGCCATTCACTCTAATTCTAACACTAATTCCAAACTAATCTGGATAAATGGTGAACTTCAGTACAGCTCAGGAACTCTTCATGCCCTCGTCACGTCACATTTGTGCTTTTTATGGTTGTTAACGAAAATACCATCAAAGTGTGGCTTTATTAGAAGTGTTTTCAAACACTGTATTCAGTTTTACGAGAGAAAAGACAAGGATGAAGACTAACTGGTTGGTTTGGCAAATGGACGTCTGAAACCTCCATTAAAGAGCAGCGCACAGCCGCTTTGCTGAGCTTTTTTATAGAAATATAAACGGAGCTACCTTTGGCGCAGTTTAATAATTAAACTGACAAACAACTAACACATCTTTATGTGAAGTAAGCTGCTTAATGAAAATAGATCTCAAAATGTAAAGCAAACTCAAGATATGACCACCTCTGCTTTACCCATAGCAAATTTCTGCTCATGATTCCCCTCATGAAACCGACTGGAAATATTTACAGTTCTACTGCACCTAGACGACTGAAGCCTGTGTTTGGTCCTACTTTGCTCTCAGCGGTGTGTGAAATGTAATGGATGCATTGTTGTCCAGGTGGGAGGGAGAGAGAGAGAGAGAGAGGACATTAAGCCTGCTGTGCCATCACTTCCTCAGGCCTGCCTCTGTGCACAAATGTTGCCCTGTCTTTGTCTGTGTGTGTGTGCGCACATGTGTATTCACATGCAAATGTATTAAATTCAATATTTAACTCTACTCAGTTGTAATATATGGTATGTGTATTGTGTATGTTTTCATTTTGTTACTATATGCCTGTGTGCGCCTTCTAAACTGTGTGTATAGAGTATTTGGATGCACTGTATGTATGTATGTGTGCTTGTCTCAGTGTTTTTTTTTTTTTTCTGCTGGTGTCTGCTAAGTGGCCATTGTGCAGACACAGTGGAGAGGGAGACCAGCTAGCAGCATAAAGCCACCAGTCCAGCTCAGCGGCTCCACCAGCAGCCAGCCAGCCAGCCCCACTCGGCATGCACCTGGCGTCCCCTCACACACACACACACACACACACACACACACACACACCACCATTATTAATTGCTAATACATATTTATGTGGCACAAATTTGCCATTTGTTTATGCATAAAATTATCAATAGCGCAGGGCGCTTAGCCAGAGAAAATGGTGACCTTTTTAAAGAGTAATAAATGGAACTCTGTGTGTGTGCGTGTGTGCGTGCGAGTGTGTGTTTATCTAATGGCTGATGTTTAAGAGGGAGGTGTTGGGTTAAAACGAGGGGAGGAGGGTGGTGGTTTTGCGGCTGGACGTGGCAGAAAGGCAGTTGAGGCCTGCCAAGAGGAGATCCACTGATCTGGATGTTTACCCCCAGTTTCACACACTTCACACAGGCAATGTTCTGTCTTTGTCCTCATCTTCATTAGCTGTGTCCATGCTCACTGGGCCCGTACTGGATGTGGCTTTGCGTATGTGAGGACAAATTTGTGCATAAAAGTGTGTCAGTGAGCGTGGTTTTTCCAATCTACAAAGTGTATGCAAGTCTAGTAAGGAGTTGTGAGCGCCTGACTCCCTCTGCAGGTGAACCACAGAGGCCACACATACTAACGCTCTACAATAGGAGACGTCGCAAGTTATTCCACCAGCTTTATATTAAATTATATGTTGATTTAATTAAATCTAATTGCTTGTCTTTTTCTGTTGGATTTCAGGCAAAGCTGGCTAGTTTTAAAGAGAATTGAACCAGACAGGGTTTAGCGGGGCTGAATGAACCAGTCTGGACTAGACAACATTGTTCAGGACTGGACTCGGTTACACTGGAACTCAGTAAAGTAGACTGGGCGACACTGACCGGAATAGGTCTGTGGAATAAATATGAAGCTCCAGCCAATTAGCTTAACTTAGCTTAACGCAACGACCAAAACTATTCTTTTAACCAACTGAAAACAGGAAATGAAACGTCAGGATGGAAAACAAAGAAGGTGTTTTGCAGTGTTTAAAATGAATAAAGGGAGCTTGTAGTTTCTACAGAGGAAATGTTGCTCTGTAGCTCCTTTTGATCTCCTTCTTAGTGAATTGAACAATGAATGCGAGCACAACAGCAAAACAAATAGCAGCATTAACCAGTGTAATTTCCAAATCTGGAGGACAAGGACAAGTGTTAAACAGCTTCCAAAAAAAGGAAACACTGGTGTTGAACAGATTCCCTGGAGGGTTTGTTCTGCTCTGCACACATTCACACACAAAAGATATTACAAGAACAAACTGTTTTTTAAAACCGTGAATTCAGTTCAAGTGTGGAGCTACTGACCTACACATGTACTAAGCTGGTGTTCTGTAGCTAGATCCTCATCTTTACACTTTGCTTCCTCTTGTTCAGTAGTTCTACCATCTTGACTGCTCAGTTCCTTTTCTCTTTATTTCTCATTCCCTGTCTCATCTTTAGGAGTCCCTGTCTCTCTCTTTTTCTGACATTGTAGTCATTGATTTTGCTCTTGTTTGTTCATCTCTGCTTCACTCTCCACTTTCCTTCAGTCTCTCTGATGATCTTGTGTGGCCCACACTTGTTTTTTTTCCTCTCTCCACTGTAATATCTCTGTACTGGTGTTTTATCTGTATGCGTGTGTCTCACAAATGTTATTGTCTGCCTGGCTGTTTCTGTCAAATCCAACTAAATCTCTCTCTGTTTCTCTTTACCAGGGGTCGGTCGTTTCTCTGATGGGTATCCACTCTGCAGAAGAGCCACCTCTCCGAGGACGCTTGTAGGTCAGCTGCTATTTACACACACACACACACACACACACACACACACACACACACACACACACACACACACACACACACCCCTAAACAGACAGACTTACTGTATTTAGACATACACATGAACAATGTTTCTCTGTCTCTCTCTTTGTCTCTGTGTAACCTAGCTTTTATGTGGCCTTCATGAGGTCACACACAGGGCTCAAGTCAGTTTCCATGACTACACAGGCAGCATCCAGCCAATCAGCATTCTCAGCAGCCAGTAAGCATCATATCTGTACATCTGACATTAAAGGTATAGGGGAAGGAGGGTGTGTGTGTTTGGGATTGTGTTTGTGTGCTCAAAGATATGTATATATGAGTCACCACAGCTTTGCCTTGAAAACCTGGAACCCTTATCAGTTACAGGCCTAAGTGTAGGCTGACCAATGAGTAGTAACCAGATAGATTGTTTTCAGCTCTGGTAAATTGTGTGTTTGTTATTATATTTCACTTTTGTTTTACTTTATTTCCAAGTAGGGTTTAGAGAATGTTAATTTGGCCTTTGCCACAATTCATTCATTATATTAAATAATAATGGATCCTCTCCTGCTATGTTTCTCAGATTCTCAGTATATTTTGCTGTATTCCCTGTTTTCCAGCACTGGGGGTTGAACTAGTGTATGAATTGGGACACGAGGGGTGAGAGGGCCAAAAAGGTAAATGGTCGGAGAACAACATATGGAGGGTAGGGAGAGTGGGATTGTTTGTTTGGGAAATGAAAGCCGTGGGAGACGGGGACAGGAAAGGGCAGCTGAGACAAAAGAGGCATATGGAGCTTTAACTCTGGAAACACAGACCCTGTTATGTTTTTTAGCATTGAAATGCCTCTGTGGTCAAACTGAGGAGTTTCAAGACTTTCAGTTCAAACAAGAAATATGATACAAGGAAATATATCGCTTTGACTAGTGATGGCAGACGAATAGAGCTGATAGAAAGGTAGTCCAGGTAACAGTTTGTCTGTTTACTTTTCTTCCAGACAGACAGACAGGCAGGTGAGTTAGGTCAGTCTAGTTAGACATATGGCTTCTGTCCAGCCCAGAGACTCGGTACTAAAGAAGGACAGAATAGCAGAAGAAAGACACACATGCCATCTACACAAGGGACATAGAGCGGGAGATAGCATGAGTAGTGTGCGAGATATGGCCCAGTAACACTGCCAGGCCAAGTTGAGATACACAACCACACACATAGTATACATGTACATATTGTACATGATTATACAAAAACCCCCAAAACAAACAGAGCATGTGCACATTCTTATAGGATACACAAACTTTCAGATGCAAACAAATGCATGTAAACACTTTGACATGCACACACACACAGACACTTTAAAAGACTCCATGTCAGTGCTGTCTCTTCATCTGCCAGAACGGCCATCCAGAAAGCCCTGTTCTCAAATCAGATTGTGTGTCTGTGGATGTGTGCTCTTTTCCTCCTGTCAGTCAGATACCACTGGCGTCGTATGTGTGCTTCACAGGGCATTATATTGTCTGACATATGGGTTTAGCTCCTCTGCTCTGTCCAGGAAACGAGGCCAAGCGGGCAGCCTCAGAATCGAGCCCCTGGGTTTGATGCAGTTTCCATCAAGTCCAGTTGTCTTTAATGTTAGCAGAGTGAAACTGGGGTACTGATTGGACTCTTCTAACGGGGTCACCGGCCCCAGCGCTGGGTCACTTTGTTGTGTGTTGGTTTCCTGTTTAACTTCTGGGTCAGTGGCGGACGTTGGGAGAGCAGGTTGTTACCATGAGTCAATGTGACAGACACACTTTCTGTGAATAGCTCACGTACATGCTGTTGCCCCTAAAGAGTCTCTCACTTCATTTGAATGAATCTACAGAGACTTACAACTTTATTGAGATAGATTATCCATGATACTGTACATACTTTTACCTTTATTATTTCTGTTGAAGCTGCATTATTGTTGAGTAAAAATGTAGAACCAAACTGGGACTGTTTTGCAAACTCTTCTTTGGTTGTCTGTTCAAGGAAACTCCAACATCTGACACTTCGCATTCTCAAACCCAGACGCAAATGTAGAAATGCAGGCATAACTCTACTGACTGAAGTGTTATTTGAATGCAGTAAATAATAATAAGGTTGCTTGCTGAATTAAGAAACAAAGCCTGTAGGGTGGATGCAACGTAGTGAAAACTTGCATATTCTGTCCCCTGACCATAGCCTGTATATAAAAATGGACGTAGTGTCCATGACGTCACCTGTTGGTTTCTGACACATCTTCATATAGTTTAGAGTTTTTCCATGGAACCATGTCGGTCTGCCATGCCAAGCCTTGATGACATGCGTTTCCACTACAGCCTCACAGCAGGGGATAGCAGTGCTGCGCGCCTGTGGTCCTGCTAGGTAGCGTGGCGGAACCACAAGCAATTCAGTCTCTGTGGTTTTAGTCAGTCCCTGTCTGTACTTATTTTGCTGTTTACTGATCATCACTTTCAGGCGTGTCACAGCTGTGTTAAGTTACTGCTGTTCACATTAAAAGCTTTCCACTGGGGAACTGGTGGGATGCTTTAATTGTGAAGAAGGCATACGAGATGCAATGTGTTTGCGGAATCATACACATACAGTAATGCACTTTGGATTACACGTTACATGAACTCCTCACTTCCATCAGGACTTGGGGCATTGGCCCCCGCCTGGGTGCTTGTTTCTGCTATATATGTGCATTTGTGTGGGTGACCCGGAGTGGGTGGGTTGATGTGTTTACAGGCATGAGGGTGCTGCGAAGCTGATGGCATAAACAGATAAAGCTGTGATGGAGGACGTGCACTCTTTTGTTTGAGTTTAAGAGACAAACGGCTGTCCAAAATACACACACAAGCATGAATGCACACATACACACACCACCCCCACTCTGCAGTGTGTGTATACACCACACGTCAGGTCTTAAGTGCTTGGTAACAAAGGGTGAGTTTATGCCTGGGTTTCACTGTAAATACAATGGTGAGTAATGCTAAGAAGACCGGCCTGTGGTCACTGTAGCCGTGCACAACTGAGAGATAGTGAATGAGGATATTTGGTGGTGCGGGGGGGCTAGAATTTTCAAAGGACTTCTTAGCCTCTGGTCTGCTTTTAAAGGTGCAGCATGAAGCATTTGGGGCTTTTTAAAATTAAAACCACATTTCCCATAAATCTGTTGCTTTCGTCTCTGGCGTCACCCCATGTTTAGTTTTTTTAGGGAAAAACAAGAAGAAGAGCAAAGACGTTGGCCTCGGTTGCAGACTTTATTCATTTCCAGGGAACTTCCAGTATGTGTCCAAACTGATATCATGCTGTCTGAACTGAGGAACTGGAAGTTAAAGTTCTAGTGTGAAAAATGTACATCATGTTCTTGCATAATTTTATGCAGAAATGAATAATATGTTATTAAAATAAACCAAAAGTTAAACACAATCTTAGGTTGGGAATCACATTATCTAATAATGTCATGGCCTGAAAAAAAAAGAAAGAAAGAAATGCTCCAGTTGAGGGTTGTCAATAATCACCTGCTGTAGTGTGACACCTCCTCCAACTCCAGAATGGGACGTCCACACTGTCTAGATCTGGAGACAATGATCACCGTCCTCAAACTTCCTGGTGAGCACAGTGTCACTGGTTTGATGGATGCATCACAAGCTTCTTCTAGTCTAGTCTTTCTGTTTTGTTTGTGCGTGTGCAAGTGAAATGATTGTCTTAGCAAATGTGTTGAGTTCATTTTCTTCCTCACTGAACTTTTGCAAAGCTGATGTTTTTGAATATTTGAAATCATATAATCATAATCATAGCAGCACTGCTTCCTTGTGTACCCCCACCCAACTGTCAATCAGTGGAACAGCGTGAAGCCATTGGTGGGAATGTGTATGTCGTCGCTCATGTGTCTCAACGAGACAGACTCGTAAAAACATGAATCGATAGGGCTGACTCTTTATGTGTAGTAGGCCAGCATAGACTACCAGGCTTCTCTGAAAATGTCTCACTTCTTTACAGCACTTTAAGCACTATTAGCATCATATGTTGAAGATAAATTCTCTTTTGAATGTCAGAGCTCAGCAAAGGACAATCTCTATTCATTTTGGCTGAAACATCTGAAACCCCTGACAACAGGGCTGGAATAAAGCTATTGTTATTGTTGCAAGCTGTCTCCATACGTTTAACCTCCACCCCCCCCCCCCCCCCCCCCAAACACACACACACACACACACACACACACACACACACACACACACACACACACACACTGTACATACACACACCCAGCTCAGCAGTGGGAGCACATCATCTGTCACCCAGGGCCCAGGCGGAGGGGCGACAGATTGTCCTCGCGGTGTACCTTCAGGTCCCATTGCTCCAAACACACACACACAATCTGCCCACTAACATACTGTTCTCATAGTATTCCCTTAGAGTGCGGGCAGGGCGATTTCACTGCCTTTATCTCAGAGGAATATTAAAACAACAGACCGTGATTCACAACATCACTAGATGAGGACACGTGTGGTGTTTTACTGTAGTGTTGTGGAGTGTGTGTTATTCACATAACCCCCCCCTACACACACATGCACTGCTTATTTTACACAAATTGATCATAGTTTGTGTGCATTTTAATGCCTAGTAGAATTACGTGCTGATTAGCAGGAACATTTTACACGCAAACACACACACACACACACAGAGTGAACAATGTTACAGTTAAAGATTAACCACGTGTGTACAGATCAAATAGAGGGGCACTTCTTGCGGCGCAGAACAAATGAATCTCACATCAATGGCTTTTGTGCAGCTATATGATATAGCATAGTGGGGGAGATCAAAACGCCAGCGTGACGTATTTAACTGTCACAAAACAGCCACATCAATTAAACATCAAGAGCACGCATTCTATAGCCTGACCGAGTGATAATCAAGGGTGTTTTTAGTATCAAAGTGCTGCGCAGCAAACACGAGGGCTTTTAAAGATCATCATCCATAAACATTACCTGGCTTTGTTCTTTGCTCTCGGGCAAACCGCACAGACGTTCACTCCTTCCTTTCTCTTTTTCCTGTCATTCTCGCTCATGCTCTACCTGCTCAAGCCCCCTTTTCTTCCACCTTACTCCCCCACCCCCCCTTCACCTGTGTGTGTGCACAGAGCTACAGGCCTCATAGATTGTCTGAGCTCACACCCTTCCTTAATGCGCTTTCTGTTCCTCTGTGGAATTCTCTCTCCTTGAAGAGAAGAGATAGAGGGCAGGTAGTTTCATCCCCCCTCCCCACCGGGTGCCTTGGTTATG